ATTTTTTGTGAACCTCAAATCATTCAATTTATACTTTTCTATTTTAAAAATCCGTTTTTATAAGAAGATAGGACAAAGGGACGAATTGAGAATGGGCTTAAACAAACAAGTTGAAGGAAGATAATTAGTCGGCGAGATAATTTACAAAAAAAAAATTTTTTTCGCGCATCTCCGATATTTCCGTAATCTAATTAAGTATCATTTGAAACAAGAAGAGGAAGAGAGAGATATGAAATCATAATAGCTTCAACTTCTGGCGCAATTACACTTATGTGAGTTTTGAGCGCTTTAAGAGACGAAATTGTATTTTTTTAGCTGCGTATTTCGACATTTAGGAGATAAACCACCTCTTTAAAAAAATCAGTTTTTTTTATTTCTAAGCTAATACCAACGGTAAAAGATATAAAAAGTGTTTCAAATAAAAGTTATATGGTTTGAAATGCTTATGGTTTTTATTCGTTACAAACATGATGATTGTGAAAGAAATGTTTTATACAAAGAGATTTTTCTTGTTGATTTTCCTTGATTGGCTCTACTTTTTTTACTTGAAACATATTTTCTTATTTTTAATTTACATAAATGTAAATTATTTATTGTTACACAATTGTTACACAATTGTTCTACAATATTTAAATATATAAAAGATAAAGATTTTAATGTCTAAATTTCAATTACTTTTTATATTTAAATTTTTATATTTATAAATATATAAATTGTTATAAATTTAATTATCAAATATATATATACATATATATTTATTTATATAATTATAAATTATCAAATATAATATACATACATAAATTGTAATATATAAATTTTTTATCGATAATTCATTCTTCTTGGCAGATATCGAAGGAAAGACGGTTATCGAGTGTCTGTCAGATACAAATAGAACGCATATAATGTCATTTCTAGTTTATTTCTGATAAATGCGTTGTTGGAATACAACTTGGAATTTTATTCCGAAAGTCTGATCAAGTCATATTTTAAAACGACACAATATCTGCAAAAATATTATAAATGCGTAAAGACTAGGTATAAATTAATTTAAAAATTTTTTAAATCACATTTATTTTAAAATTCTTTAAATGACAGAATATTATTTTAAATGCTTCAAAAAGCAATTTTTTTGCGTAATGTCTTCTAAATATATTTTTCGCCAAGTTTTTGCAAAGTTCCTTTTTGTACGATGTGTCCATCAAATAAAAGAAACAAAAAGTTTATGTATAGAAAAACTTACCTTTAAGCATATCCTCTGAAATTGCTTGCACGTGGAACTAAAATTCTCAACGTCCAGCTAATAGTTACGTTTTTCAAAATTATTAAAATAATCTCGGTAAGCAAATCCTTTATCGTAACTATTATTTATGTGACAAAAATATATATAATAAACACAAATACAATATAAAAACAACTTGCAGTTTGAGTTTTTCTTAATGACTCGATTGATTTTCTATGCACTAACGCACGAGGCTTAGTGTGTCGTGGACAGCCATAGACTGGGAATGACCAAATGCCTCATAAAGTGGTAGGGACAAAGGAAAAAGATAAAATAAATATTTCTTTTATCTTTTATTCGTGTTTCCACAATAATACTACTTCGGCCGTACCCTGGAAATTTTTGGTCTAGCTTTTTTATTAGTGGGAAAAATTCATTTTCTTTTGTGTAATTTTCAGGTCTCGTTCTATTGTTTGCATTATACTATAGACTATGAATTATCTGCGTCATAAAATAATAGCAATTTTTGCTTGCACCTAAGTTATTTCTATTACAACTTCATGAATTCTTTTTTCTTAATATTATTTTAGAATTGTTTCTATTCCTGCAACGAAATTTAGTTATCTCTAAAATTTCTCAAAATTATCTTTCTATATGTTTTTGATAATGTTCATAACCATAATAATTGCATATTAAAAATCATATTTGTTCTGTTCATAAAATTTAAAATGTACAATATATTAAGTATGACCAGTTTCTCACAACGAAACATTTAATCGATATCATGAAATATAAGCAGCAATTATTTTCGAGACTTTAAAGTAATGTTTTAATTTTTGTAAGTGAATACATAAGTTTGCGTGTGTAAATATTTAAAAATAATTTTATTATTATTAATGCATATTTTTTTAGAAATCTTATTTTAATGGTTTATTTTGTTTTGTTGAGAGATATCTATTTTCATCGATAAGAGAAAAAACGTATCAAGTTGTGACTAATGTACATCTAATAGAGGTTCATCGAATGTCCGATAAGTGGTAGGGACAAAAGAAAAAAATAAAATAAATATTTTTTTATCTTTTACTCGTGTTTCCACAACGATACTTCTTCGGCGGTACCCTGGGATTTTTTGGTCTAGCTTTTTTATTAGTGAAAAAAAATTCATTTTCTTTGTATAATTTTCAGAGCTCGTTTTATTGTTTGCATTATACCATAGACTATGAATTATTTCCTTAGATAGCCACAGTAATTATTATGACATCATTTTGACATCAAAATGTTTGTCACATTTTGATGTCAAAATGATGTCATAATAATTACTGTGGCTATCTGGGTAGCTATTTTGATGTCAAAATGATGTCATAATAATTACTGTGGCTATCTGGGTACGTCCTAAAATAATAGCAATTTTTGCCAACATTTAAGTTATTTCTATTACAACTTCATTAATCCTTTTTCCTTAATATTAAATTAGAATTGTTTCTATTTCTGCAAAAAAATCTAGTTATGACTAAAATTTCTCAAAATTATCTTTATTTTGCTATGTGTTTTTTATAATATTCATAGCCATAATAAGTGTATACTAAAAATCATTTCTTTCTGTTTATAAAAAATTGAAATGTACAATATATTAAATATGACAGTTAGTCACAGCAAAACTTCCAATCAATATCATGAAATAAAGGCAGCAATTATTGTTGAAACTCTAAAGAAATGTTTTATTTATTGTGTGTGAATACATAAATGTGTGTGACCGGGTGTGTCTTTGTGTGTGTGTGTGTGTGTATGTGTAAATATTTCGAAATTATTTTAATGTTATTAATCATACTTTTTTGGACATCCAAAACATTTTAACACATCATTTTATCACATGTCCTTGTCAGAATATAAGCTTCTCTAAATATATTAGTTGCGGAATTTTATAAAGATACTGCTTCTTTTGCAAGATACTCTAGATGATTTTACAATCATTATCTTCTGAGAGATGGGTATCAAATAGACCAATACTTTTTAATTTAATCTGAATTTTAATCTAGGCCGTCGTAAAAATAGCAGACACAAAACACACACATACACACTTTTGTATCATCCAAAATATTATAATATTTACGATCACTCAATATTTCGCGAACGACTTTGCAGCATAATCTAGATAATGTTTTTCTAGCATTTTGTTTGGCACATAATGAGTACCTTTAAATTTACAGAAAAATTTTCAATATCTGGATTATCACTTTTCAATATATGGTATATCCATTCTTTGTATGCCGATGTTATAACACCTAAAATAAAAATGTATAGATAAAAAATTAAGTATCAAATTTATTATACGATGAAACATAAATAATATAAATGAAAATATTACAGAATATAGAAATATAATGTATAATAAAGCACTTAAAATAATAATCGTACATTGTGGAACATAAAACACCAGGTTATATTCATTTAACAACACGTAGTATGGTTGCAATTCCCAATCTTCGATGTTATATTTTTGTATACATTCTTGTTTAATATCGTTGTGAGTACAATATAATCTCTTATATGGAGAGCATGGAATGTGGCCTTTGTTGTGCCACCCAATAATGACACCAGAAGGATATATATATGTATTATCACGCATTTTATACTTATGTGTAACTATCATTCCAATCGCATATTTTAGATTAGGTGATCTTTTTTTCCGAAACGTATCAGGTGCAATACATATTTCCTGAAAAATTAGTATAGTTAACGTTTTCACATAGATTACGTATTTTATATTAATGGAACAATTTGAATTAAAAATAATTATAATTAGTAAAATTTTTTAGTCTTCTTTGAACTAATTTTTTGTTAGCAAAAAACTTATTATTATTTTACTTGAGTTTGCACGGGAACGGCCAAGCACCCAAACCGGCACTGTCTTTCTCGGACTCGATCCTAGGATTTTTTTGCTTAATCATTTATATTAGTGGAACAAATATAATGGCCGGATTCCCTAGAGTGCATATACACGCATTTATTTATAACGTTACGTTTACTATAGAAAATAAGTGCACATGCACTTTACCGAAATTTAGTTAATAGTAGTCACCAATAAATATAGGTGTATAGGAAAGTATAGGGCTGCTCGTTATATATATGTATTTTATTTTTTCCCTTTTTACATTGTATATTTCTTTTATTTATTACACAGAATTTGTATGTTTTTGTTCTGTACACATAGATTGTTTGCGTTAAAAGTATGTTAAAATATTGCGGATTTTGTTAACACAATTATCTATTTTTCACTATTTAAATTGCGCGTAAATCGGTATATAATATATCACATACATTTTTGTATTGTGCGTCTAAACATGATAAGTCATCATACATTAATTTCAAATTTCTGCTGTGAGAGTTCACTATCAGCAGTCCTGGGTTAAGAGAGGGGCTAAGGGGGCTACAGCCCCCGGCCCCATCTTTATAAGGGGCCCCTTAGCTTTCAAATAAAATTGTATTTCATCGATGAAAGTAAATAATCGAATGCAAATAAATAATTAAAAATTTTAATTTTGCATTCCTCATACAATGAATCATCGTGTACAGACACAATGTTCAGTAAAAAAAAGTACACTGGTGTTTTTATCTGAAGATATACACACACACACATATATAAAGTGCCTAAAATTTGTTTATTTCTCATGACGTTGTGGCCGCCCTGCCGCGTGCGGCAATTGTCACATGAATAAAAGTAAAAGACGTCCGCATCCGTTGGGAAAGTCCATGTTTATCGATCTACCATTTATCGTTTGTGATGATTCCACGAAAATACGCTAGTGGTACTTCGAAACGTAAAGCGAAACAGAAACATGAAGATTTTAAAAATAAACTACCGAAACTGACCAACTTCTTTCCTGCCGAAATAAAAACTGGAGGCACTATTGCTAATGAAGATGACGATAAGATTCAGCAAATCTCGGTGTTAACATCAAATTCGGTACTTTCTACTAATAGTGATGAACTCAGTATTAAGGATGCTGTCATTTGTAATGAACACTCAGATGACAGTTGTGACATGAATAATCAGAACGTAATAAGCAGGAAAGCCAAGCTCGTCATAGGTACGTTTTTGCAGGTTACAATTTGCAAAATTAAAATATAAAATTTTATTTGCTGCTTTTGTAAAAATTACACAAGTTTTCTGTACATTTAGAATCTTCTGATTGTGGTGACAAACAAAATCTTGTCAGTTGTCAATGCAGTCTCTCTTTTCTCCCCGTCCTCTCTCTCTCTCCTATCTCTTGTTCTCTCTCCCTATTCTTTCTCCTTATTTATTTTATACTTTTCAGAACCTGTAAATAAAGATCCCTTTCTGTGGCCCATGGAAATGCATGATGATGTGAGGCAAAAGTATTTGGATAAAGGCTATGAATATTTTCAGAAAAAAGATAACAATTTTCAAGCTTCTGTTAGACAATATAAAGATCAAAACAGATTTTTATCTTCAAAGGTTTTTTCACGAACTTTGGCTAACGGTGAAAAATGCACGCGAAAATGGTTGATATATTCAGAGTCTACTGGGAATGTTTTCTGTTACGTTTGTAAGCTTTTTAGTGAAAATAATACAAACACATTTGTAAACGGCGGATTTAGCAATTAGAAGAAAGCAGAAGAAAAGATTAGTGGACATGAAAATAGTGCAGAACACAAAAATGCATGCTTACTTGGCTCACATTCGTGCATGAAAAATCACATATTAATAATTATATGGCTAAGCAGCTACAAGATGAGATTAAGTATTGGACTGAAGTTTTAAAACGCATTGTCGAAGTAATTCGTTTTCTTTCTGCACGCGGTCTTGCTTTTCGGGGCGAGCATGAAGTGATTGGTTCTCCAAATAATGGAAATTACTTGGGTGTTTTGGAACTGATTTCTAAATTTGATCCATTCTTAAAAAAACACTTTGACTTGCATGCAAATCAAGGTCGCGGGCACGTTTCCTATTTGTCAAAAGATATTTGTGAAGAATTTATTCACATGATGGCTAACAAAGTTAAGAACGAAATTCTTAGCCAAATTAAGAGAGCAAAATATTTCAGCCTTATTGTAGATTCGACACCAGATGTATCTCACGTTGATCAGTTATCTATTGTACTCCGGTACTGTTTGGATGGTTGTGTGTATGAACGCTTCTTTTGCTTTTTACCTATTAATAGCCATACTGGAGCATCATTGAATGAAACAATATTACAAGTTCTTTGCAATAATGAAATTGACATTGTTTACTGTCGAGCGCAAACTTATGATAATGCCAGTAACATGTCTGGAAAATACTCGGAATTACAAGCACGAATTAAAGAAGTTAATCATCTTGCGTATTACGTTCCTTGTGTAGGACACTCACTAAATTTAGTTGGCGAATGCAGCGTAGATGAATGTATCGATTCTGTAAATTTTTTCCGGTTCGTACAACGACTTTATGCTTTCTTTTCCATTTCTACGCATCGTTGGAGCATATTGCTAAAACACGCGAGCACTACATTAAAAAGTTTATCTTCTACAAGATGGTCATGCCGCGATGATGCCATTACTGCATTAGCTCAGAATTATTTAGAATTATATAATTCATTGTATGAGATTGAGCAAAGTGAAGAAGAAAAGACCGAAACTCGTCACGAAGCAATGTCCTTAAAAAACAAATTAACAAAACTAGAAACTGCATTTATGACAGTTTTTTGGCATCGAGTTCTTCAACGATTCAATATAACTAGCAAATTTGTGCAAAAAATCGAACTCGACTTGATTACGGCTAATGATATGCTACACTCGCTACTTAAATTTATTAGTGACGTAAGAAATGATTTTGTAGCAATAGAAAACGATTCTAAAAATTTAGGCTCTTTTGTACAACAAAAATATTCTGATACACAGAAACGAAAAATTAAAAAAAAATGTGCAGATAATGTAACGGAGATTCAAAATTTAAATGGTTGCGAAAAATTCCGTATTGAATCATTTAATGTAATCGTTGACAAACTTCGAGTTGAATTAGAAAAGCAAAGTTCGGCGTATAATCACATAACAAAGTTATTTGGCTTTCTAACTAAATTGACGACCATCGAAATCGATGAAATGCGAGAGTGCGCTAATCGTCTTGTTAGCATTTATTCTCATGATTTAGAAAGTAGTTTAGGTTGCGAACTGGAACAATTTATTCCGTTTATAAAAACTAGCTTCAAAAATGTTACATTCTTTCCATTGGATATTTTAAAATGGATGTGCGATCGAAAACTTGAAGAAGTCTTTCCAAATATATACGTAGCATTTAGACTATTTATGACAATACCGATCGCAAATTGCGAGGCCGAGCGATCGTTTTCTAAATTAACTATAATAAAAAATAAATATCGATCCACAATGACGGATACTAGATTATCGTCATTAGCATTATTAGCAATAGAGAGCGAATTGCTATAAAATCTTGAATTTAATGATTTAATCAATGAATTTGCGCGCAATAAATTAAGAAAAAAACTTTTATAAGTACTACTGTAATTTCAATAAAATGTGAATTATTTTCATGTATTTATTTTTCAGCATCCAGAACTTACTTATATCGTTTAAACAGAAACGACAAAAGTCATACGAACAATCACGTTTAAATAGGAATTGCAAAATATGTATCTATTTTGCATTTAATTCAATGTTATTATTCAATAAATAATTTTTATTAAAAATAGATATTTATCTACGCAAGTAGACAATTCTTATATGAATGAAGAAGGCCCCGTTTTAACATCAGCCCCTGGCCTACAAATACCTTAAACCGGCTCTGACTATCAGCAATATCAATAATATTCATCTAATATAAAAATGTATTCATTATTGTACATATCTGTTAAATGTACATATTATTGATATTGAAGAAAAGTTATTTAATTATTAATATATAATTTAAGTATTAACAAATAATAATATTTTATTAAATGGCTGTCTTTCTTTTACCAAAGTTTATCGTTCAAAAATAATATAAAAGCGATATAATATTTTGTTTTAAATATTTCTTAACACATATATATAATTATATTTTTCATAAAATAAAAATAAAAGCTAAACAAAATTTATTTAATTGTTATTGTTAATAAAAATTTACAATTAAAAAAAGATATCCTAAATCAGTCCATAATAAATCCAAAATCAATAATTGAGCAAGCTCCAAAGCTGGCTATATTTCGTACATTCTGTAGATGTACCAAATTGTGACAAATGTCCAACTAATGGACGTTCATCGAATGTCCGATAGACCTTATTTGGATTGATTAAGAATATCTCAATGTCTAAGAACGACTATTCTCCGGACATACATTAGACATTTTTGTGCTGTCAGGGTATAAATATATTAAACTCCGCGAAATTGCCTTTTTTATAACTGAATGATAATTTATAACGCTTTTATTGATCATAACGTCTGTATTCAAGAGGCTATATAATAAATGTATCTCCAGAAGTCAGAGATATCGAAAAAAAACTTTTGGACGTTTAATAGTACTTATTATTGGAGATTGCTTAATATTGTAAATGGAAAAAAGAGAAAACAGGCTTTAACGAAAGTAATCAATGAAGAAGACAGCTTCGCGGAGATTAATATATTCATACCCAGATGGCACAAGGATGTCTAATGTATGTCCAGTGTACTCTTTCTAAAATTATTCTATAAATATTCCAAAAATTGATACAACAA